ACGGCATCTCCGACACCTTTGCCCTCCCTGGGCAGCATGATGACGCAGCTGCAGGTGCGTCATATCACAGCCATATCACAGCCTCCAGCCTCCACCCAGGAGGACAGGGAAAGCAGAGGGATGAGGTTTGAGTGGGGGGCACAAAGAAATAGGTAGATTCTTTCTGCGGGTGAGGACACCTTGAAACCAGCACCCAAGAGAGGTGCAGCCTAGGTAATTGAACCCCACTACCTGGCCTGTTGGGGGAAACCAGGACTCAGAGTGGAAAGAATAGGAAGGAGCAGGGAGAACAGCCCTGATGGGAAGAGTGGGGTGCAGAGCATACAGGAGAGGATTTCCGGTGCTGGCTGAGACCTGGTATAAAGCTGCACATCCTGCTCCGCCCCTCCTGGGGCCTGCGGAGAGTCAGGGAGAAGCCAAGTGTGAGGCCAGTGTCGTGGCTCTGTCAGCTAATAATTGATCCACATGCTGTATTCAGGGCCAGGCACCCTAAGACAGGCTCCCTCCTTTGCTGCTCCTGGAGGACTCCCGTGGGGGACAAGAGGGTGGACTTCGTTTCAGGGACATTGGCAAGACGACTTAATTGTGATGCCTGTGTGTGTGCATGGGGGTGGGGGGGGGGCAGAATTTGGGGGGAAGTTCTGTCTGGGGCTTGGAGGTGGTGGGTAGAGGGATATGGCGGGACCGATGTCAGGACTGGTTGAAGGCTGCAAGGAAATACCCTTCGTCAAATTTCGAGGGAATCTGAGTGGTTTCATCATTCTGTTGAAGGTTGAATAGAGGAGACAAAGCATGGCAGGGGGCTTCCTCTGTTGGACCAGGCGCGACTAGAGTCTGAGGACAATATACCCCTTCCCTGTGCCCTAGAGTGGGCCGGGCCTTTTAGCCCCTTGCCTTCCTCAGGTAGCGCTAACCTAGGCTTCCCTGCCACACCTCCCACCCCATGGGGAGGAAACAGATTCTGGGAGGCCAACCTCAAGCAGTTAAGCTACTAGCTCCAGGGTGGCTTGGGGGGTGGGGAAGGAAGAGTGAAGGAAGAGGGGGCCGTGGGCACGCAAGACCCTAAGACCTTAAAGAGCAGAGAGAGCAAATCTGGGGCCTACCCTTGTCAAGATCACCAGGATCTGGCTCAGTCAACTGTCTCGTCCTTGCTGGGAATGTGAGGGCCCTGGGAGCTGACGGAGGAGAGCCAGGGTGCAGGAGGGGGTGGGGGTGCCCCTGAAGCCCATTCTCGGGCAGTGAGGGCCTCAAGCACCATTTCTGGACTCAGTCCATGCAGCTGCCTTCTCTAGGGATCCCAAACACACACACAGAATCTTCCAAGAAAAGCGTAAGTTGTCATTTGACAAATAGCAGCTCATCTGGGTAATGTGTTTACAACGAACAAAAACACGTCACACCTATTGTCTTCTCTGACCCCTACTGCAATCCTGGGAGGGAATAAGGGCCAGTATACATTTTTTAACAGAAGAGGAGACCAAAGCTCAGAGAATGCTTTTTAATTTACGTGTGTGTGTTGCCGTGGGTCACATGCTCGGTGCAGGAGCAGGAGGCAGGTGGCGCGCGCATACTGGCTTCTGGGAGGGTGTGCTTGACCCTTTGGTCCACTGTGTCCTTTAAAGTTCGCAGCAGTGCATTATCCCCATATCACAGACAGGAAGATGGAGACACAGATGGTCAGCATCGTGCTCAAGTCTTCACACAACAGAAATTGGATCTGTTTGTCTCCAGATCCAATGCTGGCGCCATGGCTTTCTTTATGTAGGAAATGTTGGGGCAACAGCGGCGTCCCCTCCATGCCAGGGCGCTGGGGAGCGGTGGCAGCATGGTGGGGTCAGGCTGAACCAGGTCGCTTCCTCAGGACAAATTTGGTTCAGAGCTCAGTTAGAGGGAGGGGGGTAAGAGGAAGCCCTTGGTGGGGGGGGGGGCACCCTGTGCCTTCTGTGAAAGAGGGGTTCCAGGTCTGAAGGGTTGGAAAGGGGAGAGAGGAATACCAGGGAGCCCAGCCAGCATGCCCGGTGGGCACTCAGATCCTCCCCCTTGCAGTCTGGAGAGAGGAGGGAGGGCTGCAGTTCACACACACAATGTGATGTGTGCGGCTGACACACTCGCTCTGGGCTGATCCACACGCTAATAGAGCCCTGATGGATTGGCCATAATCTCCTGCCTGGCTGTCTAGCTCAGTTGCTAGAGCATGAGGCTCTCAAGCCCAAGCTTATAGGTTGGTACCCCGTGTTTAGTCAGCACAGGGTCGAGAGTGCAGCACACGCAGGTGCTGTAAAGACAGGAGGCAGAGATTGCCGTGGTGTGGCCACAAGCTAAGGGTTGTCAGTGGCCACCAGGAGCTGAAAGAGGCAAAGGACAGGTTGCCTAACAGCTCGGGGGGCAGCGTGGCCCTGCTGGCCTCTCATCTTAGCCTCGGGAAACAGACTCGGCGCATCTGACCTCTAGGACTAGTGTAGATTTCTGTGGCTTTAAGCCACTGCGTTTGCGGTGACTTGTTACAGTGGCCCTAGGAAATGAGTGGGGAACATGTTCAGTCAACATCCTTGACATGGATACAGGCGCTCCATGCAAGTACTATGTCCACATATGTGTCACAATTATGTCCACTTAATTGTGGTCACAATTATGCTCACTTATGTACCAACATAAACTGAGGGCTGGATGCATCTGGTCCAAGTTCATGGTCCATGTAGACTAACAGGGAAGCCCAGGTCTGTGGCCACCCTGTTTTCCTGGCAGCAGTTCAATTCGGCTGGGGGCCTGGGAGACCTGTGCATTTGCAGTTTTGTTTTTTTTTTTTTTTTTTTTTCAGTTCCTCAGGTGACTTTAAGATGCAGCCAGGTTCTTCATAGATGCTGATGGATCATTAGGAACCCCAAGGGCTTAAACTGTGAATGGCTTCAGAGTTTGCAAAATACAGTTGACCCTAAAATAATGTGAGGGAGCATTGCACTCACACCCCCACACCCACCAGACACTGGCCACAGGGCCACAAAGACAATGGCGGGGCCCTGAGCAGACCCCCGGGCCAATCACGGGGCTGTGGACCTGCAGGGGAACTGGGCCATGTGTGAGGCCCAAGTCAGGGAGAGAGTAGATGAACTCCTGGCTTATTTGCATGTCCTAATTAACATAAAATGAGCGCAGGGGAGGAATTAAGCTGTCAGTTTCTCTCTGCTTTCTTCTACCTCCCCCTCATACACGCTGCTTCCCACCCCTACACTTCCCTGCAGTGCTGAGGCCCCAGGCGCCCATTCACCTCCAGCCTGGCTTCCGTTAAGTACAGTCTCCATCAGCATCTCCACAGGAGCGCAGTGGGGAGGGAAAGGCAAACTTATGGGGGGTAAATGGATTGGCCATCATCTCTCCTCAGCAAAGCATGACATAGTGGATGGGGTGTCTCATCTGTCCTGTTAAGACCGGGCAGAATTGCCCCACTGGACAGTCAGCATTCCATTTATTATCCATGGAGCCTGGATAAGGCAGGGAAGAGGGTTTGCTCCCCGGTTTTGGAGCAGCTAAGGGCAGTGGGCAGCATGAAAAGCGCCAGGTTGAGTCAACAGAACCGTTTCAGTCCCAGCCATGCCACGCAGACCCTGGGCGAGTCCTTAACTTCTTGAGTCTTTCCATGTCGACAGGAGAAACAGCAGCCACTTCCAGAGCATGGTGAGGAAGCAGCAGACACAAAGGTGATGCTGCCCCATCCCTGGGGATTATCTTGGCACAAATGTCACCTGATTGTTTAGTTCTGGCCCCTGGCTGAAATGCGTTTTCCTTCCCTGGAATCTCTCCGGGCTAATGGCTGCGGTAAGAGTTGCTTCTTTCTCTCTGCTCGACACTCTGAGGTCAGGAGCTGGGTCCTTTTCGTTGCTCTGTCCTTGGTCCTCTTGGCCTGGCACGGGGATGTGTGCATAAAGGTTTGTTCAGTCCATCCACAAAGCAGTCACAGATGAATGGTCGAGGGGGGTGACCAGCTTTCCCGTCCAATCATTCCCCACTCAGGGCAGGTGGCTTCAGCACCACCCAGCAGCCAAAGGCCTCTCAGGGCCCAGGGAGTCTGCAGGTGGAACACAAACACGCACACGCACACACACACACATACAAGGACTCTCTCTCTCTCATCACAGCCAACAAGGGCCGTCACAGCCCAGACCTTCCCCCCCAGCTCAATGTCAGGATTCAAAGGCCTGGGCAGGGCTTGCTCCTCGAGAAAGGCCACCTCAGTTGGGGCGAGGAAAGAGGGAGGTTGGAGCCAGACAGCCCTCGGATTCAAACCCTGGTCCTTTCAGTGCCAGCCAGTAGCCTTATTTGGGCAGCTTTTGTGACCCCTACAAGCCTCCACTCGCTTTCCCGGAGGACGAACCTTCCAGGGTCACTCTGAAGTTGGAAGGACGAGCCACGCGCCCTGGCGGCGTAGCAAGCTCGCAGAGAATTTTTTTTTTTTAAACCTAGCGCCTTCCTTTCCCTCTGCAGCTTCAGCCACTGAAAACTAAACATGTTACCATGTGATTCTCGTGGGAATTTGAGCGCCCCTAACTCCCTGCGCTCCAGCTTGTGGCGAACCCCAGCTAGCATCGAGGCGCATCCAAGGCCCTCCTCCACCTGCACCCCGGGGGGTCCAGGATGCGGGGAGCGCCGTAGCTGGTATTTTTCTTCTCCAATTCACTCTTAATACTCTGAGGGCAGGGCGGCTTCTTGCCTCTAATTGCAGCTGTCACACCCCATCAGGCCGAGGCGCGCGGAGTCGGGGCGGGCGCGCCTCCCGGGCGGGCGCGGCGCAAACAGGGCCGCGCATTGTCTAGTCCCAGCCGGTGGGCGTTCCCCGCGGTGGCCCCCGGGGTGCGGGGTGGGGAGCGGAGGCGGCCCCCAGGGGCGCGGGGGTGCGGGGCGGCCCTGGATCCGCGCGGCGTCACCGTCCGGGCCGCGTGCCCAGCGCGCCAGAGGCGACCTGGAGCCCAGGCTGCCGCCGAGCTGCGGCCGACCCAGCCCCGCGCCCGGGATTGGGGGACGCAGAAGTCGCGGGGCGCAAATGGAGAAGTAGACGTGAGCCCAGCGGCGCGAGCGAGCGAGCAGGGGTTGGGGCCCCAGATCCAGAGGCCGGCGAGGCGCGCGCTGCAGGGAGGGAGCGCTCGGCCTGCCGCCAGCCCCGTGCTCCCCGACAGGTAGCAGGTGGCGTATCTAGGCTTGCCTCTCGCCTGGAAAGCCCAGATAATCCCCGCCTCACCTGCCCTCTTGCAGATGACATAATGGCTATGAAAACTGCTGCACAGGCCTCTTCCCCCAAGCGCTCCTTCCAGACCGCCCCGCCCAGGCCATTCCGCAGGTCCTCCTGGGCGCTGCGCTCTCCCGGGCGCTGCAGGGGTGAGGCTCGGGACTGGCCTGTGCTGCTGGGACTCCCGGGCGGTGCGTGCCTGCTGTGCTCCTTGCCAGGAGGCAGTGAAAAGGTTGGGGACACGAGACGAGGTGTTTATTGGGGGGTCTCTTCTGGGGGAACCTGGTGGCAGTGTCCTATTCCATAATGTTGAACTGAGGTCTGTGGGGGGCGGTGAAAAAATGCCACAAGGACTTCTTGGTCTTCTGCCCCTCCCCTGTCACCTCCAGCCCCAAAGTACAACATAACTCACACATACATACACACACACACACACACACACACCCCCACCCACCCAAAGCAGCCTGCCCTCCTGCTCCAGACACCTCCTTTCTGGGGGAAAGGAATTTGGAGTTTGGCTTTTAAGCACCATTCCGCCTGCCCTCCATCCTTCCCAGGGGCCCAGCTTCGGGACTGGCCTTCTCGGGGTTCAGCAAATTTCTGTTGCTAAGATTCAGACCCAAACGGCCGTGTTAATATCAAAGCCAGAGGGGGAGGCTTCCAGGGCCTTGGGGCAACTTGTGGGATGACTCTCCCCCCGGCTGGACTCTGCAGCGCCTGAGAAGGGGAAATGTCCAGGACCCTTGGATTGACTCCGCTTCTTGACCTTCTGCGGGCGCCGGGCTCGGGGCTCCGGGGCCGTGGGTGTCACCCAGCCCGGCTTCTCCTTGAGCAGCCTGTCGCGGTCCGGCCGCACGCTGCGCAGGAACTTGCGGAAGATGTTGGCTGTCAGGGCGAACCTGCGGCCCAGCTCCCGGGGGTGATTCCGCTCTCCTTTGGGCCCACCTGCCACCCCAGAGTCCCCCTTCTCCCCACCCTTCTCCAGTTCTGGCAAGTCCAGCCAGTTGCCCACCAGGTCCGCAAAAATGTTGTCACCTAACACCAGAGGCTGTCGGTTCCGGCCCCTGGACATCAACGTGGAGGTCCAGTCATCCGGTTCCGCGGGCTCTGGCCCCTGCTGGGCACAGCCTCCCAGCTCCCGCAGCTGCGTCCTGGGCAGAGGGGTCAGACCCTTCCCACAGACGCTCCTGTGGGGCTCAGACTTGCTGCTGCTGCCCAGGGAAGACTGCCTGGAGGGGGGCCTGGCTGCATCTCCGCCGCCCTCCCATCCAGGGGTCTGGGGCTGTGTCCGGGGGCCTTCAGGGCTGTGTCCAGGGGCAGGACCCCCTCCAGAGATCTCTAGCTGTTCCAGTGCAGTCTGTACCTGCAGGAGCTTCAGTTCCTGCAGGGCCCCCATCATGCAGTTCATCTGATCCTGCAGGCCATCGCCCACCTCCTTCATGGACATCTGCGCAGGGAGAAAGCAAAAGCACAGGCCAGTGAGTCAGGGAGGGTGGGGGACAAGGGCTGTCCGTCACTGACCCTGAAGCTAGACCCACCCCCTTCCCAACACACCGCTCCAGGGACCTGGCAGCCTGTCACTGGCCCCACCTCTGTATGCAGGTCAGGGCAGATGAGGGCTGGGCAATTTGCACCCTGATCTGGCTGGCTAAAGGAATGACACTCACAGCAGCTAACTCCTTAAGGCAGACCCTGTCCTGAGCCACATATATGGAGACCTGTGCGCACAGAAGCCTGTGTATCTCTTGATCTATCATCTCCCCAACCGCTCCAGGCGGTAGTGACTGTTATTGTCCCGATTTTACAGATGAGAAAGCAGGCACATAAGTAACTTGTCAAGATACATAGATAGTAGGGGGGTGCTGAGGTCCATTTGAGGGTGCACTATGCTCTGGTGGCGGTCTGTCCTTGCTTGTCTCAGTACCATCTTTCTCTCCGGAGCCTCCTGGAGCCCACGAGGACAGGGACAGTTTGAAGCACGAGGTATGTCACGGGAGCTGTGCTTAGTGCTCCTCTGAGCCTGGGAGGTTGCTGTGCTCATTCTAATGAACCAGTCAGCCAGAGTAGGGGAGAAGTAGCTGCTTAGGGTCACTCAGCTCACAGGGCAGCACTCAGTGCAGGGATCTCACTCCTAATGCTGCCTCCTAACTGCTACCAAACTCAGCTCTGGACAGCAGGGGAGGGAGAGGGGCCGTAGGGGAAGAGGAGGAACTCAGATTCCCAGGCAGAGAGAGTGAAGGCCCAGGGTTTCCTTTCCTGGCTGTTCACATCTGCTTGACCAGGGGGCAGAGGCCGGGAAGCTCCCGCCTGTGGCCTGTGGAAGCCCCTGCCTGGCGCTTGCAGCCTGCTCCCCTTCCGGACACCTGTCCTCTCTCAGCTGCTCGAAGACTTGGCTCCAGTCTTGCCTCTTCCTGTCGTCTCAGCCCAGTTGGCTCTGCTGCCCTGGCCCGGAGTGGGGACATGGGGAGTCAGTCCCCCATCCCTTTGTGGGTATCCAAGGCCCCAGTCCCTGTGCCAGCTGGAAGGGGCTGAGAGATTGTCTTGGGTGAGGGCCGAGCTTGGAGGCTGGGGAGGGGATGCTTGGCCTGATAACATTCACCAAGTTCCCTGTCCCTCGGCCCAAGCTGCCTCAGTCTGGCCAGCTCCCTCGCCAGATCTCCTCAAGTTACAGGCAGAAAACCTCCTGTGTGCGGGGACCGTCTGTTTCTTAAGCCCCCCAGAGGCCTGCAGGGATCATCTTACCTCCCAGGCTTGTCCTAATGCACAAGCTAAGCCTATAAGGTAGGGGGGGGGGGGGGGGGGGGGGGGGGGGGGGGGGGGGGTGGGGGGGGGGGGTGGGGGTGGGGAGGTTCTGCAGGGCTGCCTGGCTGCTGACCCCCTCAGACCTGGGGGTCAAACCCTCCTCCTGCCAATCCTGGGCCTGATGGAGGTGGGGGCTGGGCCAGGCTCTGCTGAGGCAATAGGTAGGGGACTGACTGGCTGTCCCTGAGGCCCGCAGGCCCGGAGGCCTTTGCTGAGTACGGGATCGCCCACACTGTACCTTCCCCAGTGCTGGGCGAGGGGGAGCCGCGCTTTGCCCTGACAGCCCCGGGGTTTAGAGGACTGCATGTGAGCAGTGGCAGCAGCGAGAGACACAGTCTGCGAGGTGGCCCAGCTTACCGATGGCCTCTGGCTCCGACCTCTTTTCTCCCGACCCCTTCCTTTCAGACAGCTCAGCCACAACTGGGAGGACAGCAGAGCCCAGTCAGTGGAGACTCTGGGTCCCCACACTCCTTCGGGTCCCTTGGGGCAAACTGCTTCTCCTCTGCTTCCCCATATCTGCCCCCTCCCTCATACCTCTTTTCTGCATCACCTCAGCCTGTGGAACCTCACTTTTAACTTTTCCAGCCATCCCCGTTTCTGCGCCAACGGCTGTCATTTCTGCCTCTCCATCCCCTGGAATGTTAGTGCCTCCCGCCCCTCATCAGTCTTCCCAACACGCCCCTGATCATGGTGCTCCCACTCAGAAGCCTCTGGAGGCTCTCCACTGCCGGGAGGATAACATCCAGGTTCTTTGGTCCTATAGACGAGCCCCACTGTGCCACAATTTGGACTTCCAGCTCCAGGCACACGCCACTCCTGCCGCCTCCCCAGGCTCCCATCGGAACCCCTTGGGCAAGTTGCATCCTGCCCACCTGCGCCTGCCCCAGCTCCTGCCTAGTTAGCGCCTGGCACTTGCCACATGTCCCCGAGACATATATCGAGTACCCCTGAATCCCTCAAATCACCTCCCCCACCGCTTGTCGCCCTCAGACAGTAACTTGCTACACAGGGAGAGTCAGGGTCATTGTCAAGGTCATTTTGCCAAGAGACACGGAGTCTGAGCTTGCAGGCTTCCTTCCAAAGGCTGAACACAGGCCAGGTCAGGGATGTGGGAGGAATGAAATGACCCCATTCAATCGCTTCCAGTGTGGAAAAATCCTTAAGAAATAATGCTGACATTTTCCAGCGAGAAGGAGTGTGCGGGTATGTCTGAAGTCAGGACTGTGCATAAAACAGAGGCCCATTTAAGTAAACAAGAGCTGAAATTATACCCCCATGGGAAAGGATTGGCTAAGATCTTGGGTTCTGGAGACAAATAGAACAGGGCCCCCATCCCAGTTCTGCCATGTAATAACTGTGACCTGGGCAGGTCATTTAAATGCTGTTCCCCAGTTTCTCCACATTTTAAATGGGAATAGAAGTTCCAGCTGCGTACACCTACTGCGCAGAGCAGATGAGGAAATGTGGGTTCATGTATGGTCCAGAGGTGAGTTTTGGCTATTCCCTAAAGACTTCCTAACAACTTCTAGAACGTTTCTTCCTAAGCGAAACCTAACACATGGTAAGAACAGGATCCCATTCATCTGCCTGGTCTGACACATCTCTTGTCTGTGCCTTCTCGCCCACCTCCGCCCCCCTGGGGGGAGGGGAGAGAAAGGAACGGGAAGCCCCACCACCCCTTGTCCACTCTCTCAGTCCTGGGGTTCCGGTGGGAAGGCAGCTGTGAGGGGGTGGGAACAGAAGGCGGAAGAAGGAAGCTGAGTGTGGGAAACAGGGCGGGCAGGGGAAGTGGGAGCAGGAGCACCAGCGGGGTCTGGACCAGGTCAGGAGCCAGCAGGACAGCTTTCCCAGCCCCAAGGGGAATGATGTCACCCCAGGAGAGACAGCCAGAGGGCAGGCTGCTGTCTCCTTAGAGCGTGGGACCTCCTAGGATCCCAGGGCTCCTCTTGCCTCAGGAACCCATCAGGGAGGAGAGCAGTGTGGGTTGGAGAGCAAAGGAGGGGCCGAATCTGAGGGAAGTCCAAGCTAGAAATGATCGCCCCTCCAATCCCAATGTTCAGGCTGCAGGGGGCCGAGTTCCTCCCAGCACAGACCTCCCAGCGCCGCAGAGCCTGGGCTAGGAACCCAATCTGATCCTCAAGGGTCAGCTGAAGCAGTCACAAGAGAGCCTGTTGGCTCTGATTAGTAGTTTGAGTGGGAATGGACCTGACAGCCGCCTCCCTCTGAGAGAGAGAGAGACAGACAGACAGACAGACAGAACCAGCACTATTCCATCATCAAACCTAATATCCTTAGTAAGCACAGCCCACAGAAAGTTTATAAGAATCTCCTGAGAAAAGCAAGGCAAGGTCTCACCCCCCCCCCAACCCTTAGAGTTTTCTGGGCCTCAACATACTTCATTCTAAACAGTTTTCATGTCAAACGCCAGGGTCTCCTGCATGGGTTTCACCCAGCCTCTGGCTTCCCCACGAATGGCCGCGGGTTGCTTCCTGGTATTGGTCAAGAGCCCTGTGCTTGGGCCTCCCTGGTGGTGTAAGGGTTGAAGTCTCACCGCTATCAGGCTATCGCCAGTCCCCAGCCAGGGAGCTACCCACATGGCGCAGCAGCCCTCTCCTGCCTCGCCCGCTGCTCCCCTCAGCAGTGTATTTCGGTCAGTCTGCCTGTTCTGTTCCCCGCTCTGTCTCTGGTGAATCCTCTCCCCCCCCGCACCTCTGGCCTGTACCCCAGTTCTTGTATGCATAAATAAATCAATCTTTATTTTTTTCAAAAAGCCCCATGCTGTCATCTGAAGGCCTGGCCTGCAGGCATAGCTGTCACTTGACCTTGGGCAGACCTGCCAGCCTGTAGCGCTGTGGGCTGAGACTGCTGAAAACCCCTCTTGTGTGGGCCGTGCTTGTCTGTCCTCTGCGGGGCCTTGTCTGGTCCCCACAGCCACTCTGGGACACTGACTGGCCATGTGGTCTTGTCACCTTGACGGAGCAGCAACCTAGGGGTCCGAGAGGTCTGTCTTCTCCCTCGGTGTTTCCCAGCAGTCCTTCCTAGACTCCCTTCATAATTTGCACCATAACCACACACGACCTAGTCTCCTAGTTAATATTTCTCTAACGCTACCACTACCTGTTGATATAAGGAAATGTATTTGCATTGGAATAGTGTGACATGCGTATCCCCTGTCATGAGCAGACGGTAACTTCCTATGTGTGTACGTGCACCTCTCCTATCTGCAGCTTCACATAAAAGTTTTTCATCTGAGTTGGTCCCTAATGTCACCTCGACAGCAGAGACAGTGATCCTGAGGTGCTGGGGCATGTCCGTGGGGGGACTGCGACCCCCGGCCTGGCCCTGACCGCAGGCCAGCGGGCTTTAGCTGCCGCCGTACAGTCCGACTTGGCAGCCGGGAGAGTGTCGTGAGTGGGCAGGACCCAGGGCCGTGATCCTCACGTGGGGAGAAGGCGCGCAAGCCTTGGGGGGACTCCAAGACCCAGTGCGGTCCATTTCCACCCAAGGCGCTGCTTCGCGGGGTCACTGAAGCGGGAAGAGGACCCGCCTGCCGGGCCTGAAGGGAAGACGCTGCTGGGAAGCGAACCTCACAAGCCCCACGCCCTGGGGGGGGGAGGTGCAGGGTCAGCTGCCCATGGACAGCAC